TAAATTGTTCGAAACCCCATAATTTCTAAAGTTTACATATTTTGTGTTTTTCTATGAAAAAATTGTATGTAATTAATTACATTTAAAAAATAATCAGTTAATACTATGGACTTATTTGAGTCCAATTTTTGGTATATAATGCATTTTGAAATAATAAAATGATGGAGAATGCGTGTTAAAAAATAAGCTCATGTTTGGTATACATTTTTTCAAAATTCATTTTCAATCATACATTTTTCAATAAAATAATATGTTTTTTCGTATCAATAATTTTTCTTTATTTTTTAATTATATATTTCTCATCATATCACTATTTAAAATACATTATTTTTTCAATAATATCCATCAAACATACCCTAAGAAAAAAATTGAATTTATGTGTAATATTATTTTATTGAAAAATGTATAGTTGAAAAGAACAGAAAAAATGTATTTTTCAGAAAAAAGTGGAAATAGAACAAGGGATAGATAAATAATTTATCAAATTTAAATAAATAAAATAGAAAGTTTATCTCGACAAGTTACAGAACCCGGTCCAGGTCTTAAAAGGGTCCCAGACTTCCGGTAGGGTTTTAGCCCACTGCATTTTCTCTCTTTATTTGGAGGTAAATCTCTCTCTCAATCGCACATTTCTTTGTAATTGTATTTTTTATTTATTTGAGTGTGATTTTTTAATTTTTGTTTTTGTTCGAAATTTTCGATGATAGTTGGTTTTATGCAGTTTTAACTCCCGAGTTTGAAAATTTTGAATAATTTGCAGTTTAAAATTTCTGGGTATTGTCTAAAATTCAATCGTAGTTAAATTTTCTTTTGAATTTTTAACCAAGTTTTGTTCAAGAAATGCTTTTGAATTACTTAAGAATTTTCTTTCGTTGCCAGGTTGAGGCGATTTTATGGGGTCTGGAATGAAATGCTTAGTTCTTTAAATTTTGTATCTAAGTGGTAGAAAGGATCTACAGATCAGTGTTATCTATATTTTAATCTGCTATTGTTAGCATCCTTTGCTTTAGTGACTCGGATTTAACTCGTGAAATCGTGAAGTCCTCTATAGCGCGCGTATACATAGAGATAGACATGAATCTGAGGCACTTCTTTTCGAGACAGACAATCAATAATATATCAAAACTCAATGGTAGAGTGTTTTCTCCTCATCGAGGTTATCATAGATGTTGTGTAACCATTGCTTCCTGCACGTCCCCTTCGATTTGTTCACCAGAGAGTCGTGGTACATTTTCTATATTCAGCACCCCGAAATCAAATTCACATTTTGGTAGATTTGTTCACACTGCTCAACTAAATGACTCATCTAGTGATTCAGAAACTGAGTCAGATGATAATGCAATGACGAATGAGTTCTTGTCCAGATTTGTTTGGAGAATGAGGGGAAAGCTGTCTGAAGCATATGCTGACTGTGATAAGAAGACCATTGATGGGATGCTTTTGATTATTGTTGGAAAGGTTATCTCGGAAATGGAAAAAGGTAGTCTTGAGCAGATGGTTGAGGCTGCTTCGTCCACACCTTCACAGGATTTCAGTGAGGACCTTTGGAGAACAGTGTGGGAGGTTAGTCATGTAGTTTTGGAAGATATGGAGAAAGAAAGGAAGAAGGAGAAAATGAAGTGTTTTCTTCAGTCTGAAGAAGTTAAGGACATGTGCAGGTTTGCTGGTGAAGTCGGTATTCGTGGGGATATGCTGAGAGAGCTCAGATTTAAATGGGCACGGGAGAATATGGAGGAAAGTGAGTTTTATCAGAGTTTGGAACGGCTTCGAGAAATGGAATCACAAACTGAAGCCCAACAGGAGCCATTAAAAACAGAATTCATGGGTGAAGAACGGATTATGAAGGAAGATAATAATGTGTCTGAAGAGAAGCCTAATGTTTTGGAGCTTCCCAAAAGACATGGGAAGATCAAGTACAGGATTTATGGACTTGATTTGTCTGATCCAACATGGGCTAAGGTCGCTGATAAAATTCATGAGAGTGGAGAAGTTATTTTTCCTCAGGAGCCAAAGCCAATAACCGGGAAATGCAAACTTGTTGATGACAAAATCCTCTCACTACAAGAGGACGATGATCCTGCTCCACTTTTAGCTGAATGGATGGAGCTTCTTCAGCCTAGCAGGATTGACTGGATTAATCTTCTTGACAGATCAAAAGAACAAAATTCTCGTGTATACTTTAAGGTATCCCTTCTCCCAATTCACATCTAAATTCTTGTCTAATAACGTATTTGCACTGTATAAGATTTTTTCTTTTGATCTGTATTCCAACATGTATTTCGTTATCTGCGTCACATTTTTTTTTTATTTTTTCACGTTATCCCTGTGCTTACTTGATTCTGTAATGTATGTTTGATCTGTATTCTGGTTCTCCCTGTTGTTTAGCATAGTATTTCAATCTGGGTTTATTAGTGCTAGTTTTATCCAAATATAATATGGTATCTGCCTCCTCATTAAATGGTTAAGATACACCTGTGCTTTGACAGTTGGCTGTGTTCGAGTTAAATTGTTACCACTGAATTGACATTAAGTAGATGAAAAGATTAAAAACATTGAAATTTGATATAGTCTCCTGCTATTTCACAGACACTATCACAACTAAAGGACTGACAACTTTATGCGTAAAGTGTTATATGATGTAAGCTAAAGTGGTAAAAGAAAGGCATGCAATCACGGAAAGATATAAGTACTTGGATTATCCTCTCAAACCTATATGTTGTCAGTTGTCACCCCATTTTCCCTGAGGGTGTTTATGTCAACTCGCAATCTGAAAACTGTATCCATTGCATATGAGAATGAACGATTCATATGTTTTGCAATGCTGTATGATATTGATGATATATCTGATTGCTGACGTTAGAATGACACTAGATGTGCCACATGAATGAGTGAAACCAGCTAATTTGCTAAACAATTCTTATTTATAAATATATTAGGAGATTAGAAGCATGATTAGAAGATTGTTAGTTAATCGATAACATCTGGGAAAATTTTATGAAGTAATTTAGCCTCCGTTTGTCAAATTTATAAATCATATATAAAGAGAAATAGTAGCGTGTGGGTAATAAATTAGTATTTATAATGTGTAGTTGAAATTAATGTTCAACTTTGACTTGACAGCCAAATGGAGTCTAGTTAATTTTTATTTCTATGAATAATCTTTTCTTCTGCAATGATCACCTTAAAATTTAAAACACTTTCTTTGTTCTCTCTGCCATCAAGTACTTTTGGTCATGATGCACATAGTTACTTGTGAGAGGATACTTTTTCTGTGTTTTGATCCTGACATGACCGCTGTTCAAAAATTTGTTTTAGATTGCAGAATTTCTACTTGGTGAAGAGTCCTTCCAGACCAACATACGTGACTATTCAAAACTGATTGATGCTCATGCAAGAGAAAATCGCTTAGAAGACGCTGAAAGAATTCTCAAGAAGATGAATGAAAATGGTATTCTACCCGATATTCTAACGTCAACCATTATGGTTAACATGTACGGTAAATCGGGAAATCTTGATCGAGCAAAAGAAGCATTTGAAAACTTGAGGAGTCATGGATTCCAACCTGATATGAAGGTGTATATTTCTATGATCATGGCCTATGTAAATGCTGGGCAACCAAAGATGGGTGAGTCGTTGATGAGAGAAATGGAAGCAAGGGACATGAAACCCACAAAAGAGATATTTATGGCCTTGCTTCGATCCTTTGCCCAGCAGGGTGATGTTAATGGAGCCCAACGAATTGCTACCACCATGCAGTTTGCTGGTTTCCAACCAAGTTTGGAATCCTGTACGTTACTAGTGGAGGCATTTGGTCAAACTGGTGACCCTGATCAGGCTCGGCATAATTTTGATTACATGATGAAACTTGGGCACAAACCGGACGACAGATGCACTGCTAGCATGATTACGGCTTATGCAAAAAAGAATTTATTGGATAAAGGTTTAAATCTTCTACTCGAGCTCGAGAAGGATGGTTTCTTGCCTGGGGTTGCTACTTATACGGTTCTGGTCGACTGGTTGGCCAAATTGCTGTTGGTCGATGAAGCTGAACAGATATTGGATAAGATTGCAGAGCAAGGGGAGGCTCCTCCGCTCAAGGTGCATATTAGCCTTTGTGACATGTACTCGAGGGCTGGCTCCGAGAGGAAGGCTCTTCAAGCTTTAGGAGTTTTGGAGGCGAAGAAGGAGCAATTGGGGCCCGAGGAATTCGAGAGGGTTATACATTCACTCCTAACTGGTGGCTTTCTACAAGATGCTCAAAGGATTCAGGGGTTGATGGAAGCTCAGGGATTCCAAGCATCTGAGCCGCTAAAGGTTGCTTTGATGGCATCTCAGGCATTTGGTCGTAAGAGACAAACGATCAGATAGTTTGCTTATTGTTATTTGTTAGGTAGATTTGTTCTCAACACTCCGATTATAGTGGATCTACGATGTTTCTTCTGATCATAACCGTGCAATTCATCGCTATCATTCTGAAAATCATCCCAAAGAGGTCAGTTGTGTTAGTTTAAAGTAGGAAGTTACGGATTTGCTTTAAACTAGATGTGTTCAGATTCAATCCATTACATGCTTTTTGAAGTTTGTTTTTGTATAAAACCGAGTCTGATCTCGTCATAGATCATGTTTGTTTAATAAATTTGATGCCTGTTACGTGAATTTCTTAATGGTCACTCTGTTCAGTTATTGCTATTGCTGGATCTTGTCAATCTTATATTTGGTAGCAACACCACTTCGTTTTATTGGGATGGTATCTTTATCTGCTCCTATAATTTTGTAATATTTGTACAATGATGATGTCAAGCGCACTGTTTCTAATTTGTCATCTATTAATCTCTTCAACGTTCGATTTTGGACTCTTGCTAGGTATTGAAGCAACCGACACGTGAAGTACGAAAGAATCATTGTAAGCTGGTTAATCTTAAATTTGAAACGAAAAATTTGTCTTTGAAAATATTCGAGTTTGTTATCTTCAAGACTAAGTGAAACCTCATCTATGATAGAAGGCGTAGCTAAATTTGTAATGGAACATAAAGTTAACATTTTCTTTTGCGAAATGAGGAAAACATGTAAGGTCCTGTTTGATTGCAAACTTTTTCATGAAAAATGTTACATTCGAGAAAAACGAATTTCACTTTGACCGTTTGATTGCAACGTGGAAATGGAAATCGAATTCCAAGATACAACCACTTTAAGCTGCATTTTCTTTGTTTTCATGGAAAACGAATTCCTACGGGTTTGATGGATT